TTTCAATTTTATTGATGATATTGGGTTTTTTAGAATTTTTATATCTTCTCAATTCAACTTTGATAATTCATGTGTATCTAGGAATCTGCCCATTTGTTCTGTGTTTTCTATCTTATCAGAGTAAAGGTTCTCAAAGTACATATTGATGATCATCTGGATTTCTGCAGGGTCTGGTGTGATTTCACCCTTTACATTCTTCATTGCATAAATTTGAGTGTTCTTTTTCCTTTTTTGATAAGTTTAGCTAAGGCTTTCTCACTTTTATTTAATCTTTCAAAGAAACAACTCTTTGATTCATTTTTTGGTATTGTTTTCTTCATCTCAATTAATTAATTTCTGCTCTGATTTTTATGACTTACTCTTTTTCCAGAAGTTTGAGTTTCAACATTAGGTTGTTTATTTGAGCTCCTTCTGTTATTGTGATTTGAGATGTCACCATTGTTAATTTTCTTATGACTACTTTCATTGCATTGCATAAGTTCCTGTATGTTGTTTGTAATTTTTAATGCATTATCGTTTAATTGTAGATACTGTGTAATTTCTTTAATTTCATCTGTAACCCACTGGGTTGTTCAGTAGGGTGTTATTTAATTTCCATGTGTTTATGGAATTTTTGTGGTTTCCTTTGCATTGATTTCTAATTTCATTGCACTATGGTCCAATATTATACATGAGATAATTTTAATTCCTTTGCATTTACTTAAGCATGTCCTGTGGGCTAGTATGTGATCTACTTTGGAGAATGTCCCCTGCACTGCTGAGAAGAATGTTCATTCTGATGTTGTGGGGTGGAACACTCTAGACATCTATTAAGTCCATTTGTTAACAGATTTGGTTCAGTTCTGATATTTCTTTGACATTTTTGTCTAGTTGATCTATTTCTGACAATGGGGTATTAAGGCCCCCCCATTACTATTATGTTAGTGTTTACTTGATTTTTTATTGTTTTTTTTGTTGTTGTTGTTGTTTTTCTGGTACCAGGAATCAAACTCATGACCTCGCGCTTGCCAGGCAGGCGCTGTACCGCTGAGCTAAATCCCCAGCCCCTTACTTGATTTTTTAATTTCCATTAATAATTGCTTCAGATAAGTGATATATATGTACCCTGCATTTGATGAATATATATTTATGGCTGTTATCTCTCCTTGTAGTTTTCCAAGTATGTAGTGGCCTTCTTTATCTCTTTTGATCAGTCTTGGCTTGAAGCTCACATTGTCTGAATAGAATGGCTATCCCTGCTTTTTTCCAGGTTCCTATCTCATGGAGTATTGTTTTCCATTCTTTGACTTTCAGTCTGTGAATTTCTTTTGAGTTAACTGTTTCTTGATCCATTCTGTGAGTCTGTTTCTTTTATTGGTGAATTGAGACCATTTGCATTGATAGTTATAACTAATATGTATTGTCTTATCTTTGTCATATAATTTTCCTGTTCATGGTTCCCTGTCTTTCCCCTCTGTTTAATTGCTTCCCCTGCTTGGTGGCTTCCTTCTATTGTATGCTTGGAACTGTGGGCTTTTTTTTTTTTTTCTAGAATATCTTTCAGTACTCTTTGTAGTGCTGGTTTGGTTGTCATGAATTTCTTCAGTTGTTCTTTGTCATGGAAGTATTTTATTCCTCCATTAATTCTGAAAGTTAATATTGATACATCAATCCAGGTTGGAAGTTGTTTTCTTCCAGAGCTAGAAATACTTCAACCCAACCTCTCCTTGACTTAAGGGTTTATGTTGAAAAATCTGCTGTGCTTCTGATGGGCTTTCCTATATAGGTGATTTATTTTCTCTAACAGCTTTTAATATTCTGTTCTTGGGCTAAATTTCTGGAATCTTGATTATTATATGCCTTGATTTAGAATTATTTTGGTTATGACTCATTAGAGTTCTGTATGCCTCACTAACCTGTATGTCAAATTTTTTCCATGGTTGGGAAGTTTTCTGCTATTACTTCTATAAACAGATTTTTTAATGTCATTTGTGCTGACTCTTGCATTTTCATTGACTTGAATCAGTCTTACATTGTTGTTTTTTGCATTGTCTTGCATTTGTTGGATTGTTTTAACCTGTGAGATTATTTTTGTTTTGATATCCTCTATAGGCTCATGTATGTATTTATGTCTTCTACTGTCATTCTAGTAAATTCAGGTGGTTGGCTTCTGATTTCCTCTATCTCATTGTCCCCTGGGTTTTTCCTTGGTCAGCTGGAAGTTGCCTCATCCTGTGCAAGGAGGGGTTCTTGAGAGGGGGTGGTGGGAGATTAAGAAAAAACTATAGACACATACTAAAAGGAAAGCTGAGACCAGGTGGGACATCACCTCTCTGATGGAGAGGCAGTGACAACCCAGCATGGTCTGCCTCTTTATTTATACATTGTAAAAAGCAGGGGAAAGCATGCAACAAGTGCAAAAGTACAGGGTCTCAGTATTTTACTGAGAACACTAAAAGTGAAACATTCTCAGAGCTGTGCTGTAGTTAACAGGGAAGAACACCAAGGCGAGACATCTGCTGGACTGGCCTTACTATAGTCCCAACAACTTGTTTATGTGGTTCACATCTGGAGCCCCATGTTCTCAGGGCTGGCCTTGCTCTAGCTGCAAGGAGTTTGCCCACCTTCAGCTCATCTGTGGATCAACTGTGCCCCACAGGAAGTCTGGGATTGCATTTTGCTTCTGTGTCTTGTCATTTTCCACTTTTTATTTTAATTTGTTTCCTGTTTTATTGTTTGTATTTTTCTTATGTTAGGTAGCTTTATCACTGGCATCAGACTTCCCTAGGATATGTCTATTCCTCAGAGATGTCTTCTGTATAGCTGGCTATGAGTTTTTGTTCCAACATCCCATCTTCCCACATTATTAGGGATGATATGTTGCTAATTATTTGGCTCAGCACCCAGTCCATTGGTACTGGGCTATGGGGATGATTGTGACCCCAGATTATCATAGTGTTATCATACAAGGGTGAACAATTGATTATAACAAGTATGGCAACTTGGCTAAAGTAGTACAACTAGCAATAATATCATCAAGCACAGCCTACAAACTGATAATCTGTGGTAACTGGTAATTTGGTATATCTAACCATAGGAGCAAGATCTATAGTTATATAATATCCAACATAGACCAGGAATTTGTATGCAGTGGGCTTCCCCTTGGTTGAGGTGTTTTTATCCTGTGGGGAAGGGGAATTTAAGAGGGATAGTGGCAAAACAGTGATAACTAAAGAGAAATATAGTAGAAGCAAGGCTGAAGGACTAAGGATGATCACCCAAACTTTGGGAAGCTGAGAAGAGGACAGAACAGAAAGAATGAAGGAGAAAGCAAAAGAATTTTGGAGCAAAAACAAAAGAACTAGAGATAGTGTTCATTTATCTGTAAATCTCGTAGTGAATACAGAAATACCATTGAAGAAAGAGAGAGGCAGGACAGAGAAAACAAACCAAACAATAAAAGTTAAAATCTGGGCTGAGGTTTAGCTCAGTGGTGCAGCACCTGCCTGGCAAGCCTGAGGTCCTGAGTTCAATTCCCTGTACCCCCCACCAAAAAAGTCAAAATCTGGGATGACCTTTCCCCAAATTTAAAAAATACAAGTAGGAAAGAGTATTTTTAAAAATTCCTCCGGTGCCTCCAATTCAGTGTTAGTTCCCTAGTGAAAGCCAGAGTCTGTACTGAGTAACTCCATCACATCTTTAGTAGTTACTGCTGAGTGTGGGGCTGATCTTGGCTACACTGCCGACTCGTCTTACATGAGCTGGTCATAGGAGGGGAGTGCCCTTGTCCACAGCCAGCCAAGGCTATTTGCCTGCTGGTCCCAGGGCAGATGGTGACGTCCTTGTCCTGCCCAAGGCTGCTTGCCTGCTTCTGCCACTGGTCATATGGTGGGGGGTGAGGGGTTCCCTTGTCTCATCACCAGCCAAAGCCTCTTGCCTGCTTGTGCCTCTGGACCAAGGTGAGGAAGTACCCTTGTCTGGCACAGGCCACGGCCACTTGCCTGCTTGTGCCCTAGTCACAGAGCAGGGCGTGCTTCCAGTCCTCTGTATCTAGGGCTAAGCTTTTGGTGTTCAGTGGATTAGTTTGGGTCCCAGCTCCTACTTGTCAGCCGAGTTCCCCCTAGCCTGCTGTCCAACTGCTGTCTTTCTCCTGTGATAGGACAGCCTTCCTTATTCCACTCCCCCACGCTGTTTCTGCCAACTGGCATCAGACATCCTTGCTCAGCTTATAGCTGTGCTGACCCAAATTTTACCTGTGTCTCTAGATGTTAACATCCTTAAATTTAAAAAATAAAAGACCTCTCATAATTGCTTAGAAGGAAAAGAACTGTAGACTAAAGCAATTTTATCTCTATGTGATTAATTGCCATTTTTGGTTTTCCTACTTAGAGAACCTATACTTAGCACCATTGTCCCAGGAGACCCCCCCATGTGCATTCCAAAATGAGCTGGCTCTGAGATTTATATGAGATAAAAATACTTTAGGCCCTCTGAAAGCTACCCTTCAAGCAAGCAGTACGCACTGCAGATGTGGCAGCACACGTTAGGGAGCCAGTCCTGTGAGGTTTACATCTGCACACATCATCGCACGTCAGCCACACTTTAGAAGGGAGATAGAGCCCTTATCCCTGTTTCCCAGGGGAGAAAATTAAAGCCTTGGGAGAATGGGGAATTTGTACTAGAGGTTCTGCATGAGACTAAGAAGAATGCTTCCTGCTAACTATTGGCTGGCTCCCGAGCCTCTAACATAGGTGCTGCCTTCGTCTGCAGCTTACCGAGGTACTGGCTTTGTTCTGGGAAGCCAGCATTCAGTATCAGAAGGCTCAGCAAGATACTGCTGATCCTGTAGCACTGCTAGATGCTTGGGCTTCCGGATAGCAGCACCACACAGTGCCTGTGGCCGAGGGAGCGCGTAGGGTCAGGTGGCTAGACTTTCGGGCATGTTCCCCAGGTCACAGAACCCCCTGCCAGTTCTTTGCAGATCTCTTTCATTCACCTGTTATTTTCTCCGTACTGCACAGGCCTCTTCAGAAGCAACAGGGTGCAAAGACAAAGGGAGTTCAGATGACTTCATCTTGGTTTCTAAGGAAGATGAGGGAGGCGCTGCCAGGGGACCCTTCTTGGGCCAGGCCCAGCCTCTTCGCACCCTCAGAAGTACATCTGTGAAAAGCCAGATCCCAGCCTGCTCCCCTTTGGTGTTTTCTGACCCACTGATGGGTCCAGCTTCGGCTTCCTCCAGCAACCCCAGCTCCAGCCCCGATGACGACAGCAGCAAGGACTCTGGCTTCACCATTGTGAGCCCTTTGGATATCTGACCACGAGGACCCAGCCACCCCCTCGGTGACCTCAAGGCTTTCCCGATGGAGACTCTTCTGAAGTCGGCACTTCTTTCCCAGCATGCATTTGGCATTGGTTGCAGCCCTTTAGAACCCATTTGAGAGAAGCAAATATGGCCACAGAATACACGGAACTAGTGTGTTCACCAAAATGTAGGCAGAGCTTTCTGGGTCCTCACTTGACCCACACATTGCCCTTGCTCTGAACTGGAGCTGGGTTCAGTACTCAGCACCACACTCACTACCAGATAACCCCACACTCAGTACCACTCTTCCGTTCCCTCCTGCCCAACTAAAAGGGTCTGACAGCCCCTTCAGTCAGTTAGACATAGAGGAGAAGACAGTTTCAAATCTTCCCTCCCTCAGCACATCAGCCACAGAAAAATTGGTCAGGGTCAAGAAAAAATTACTGAGTGAAAATATATCTCAAACAACTTCTTCCCTGTCTTGGGAAGCCGCATAGTAGAACCAAGTACAACAGGATCAACTAGAGTGAGTAGATTCCACGGCTAGGAAAAACCCGTTACTGACTTCTCAAAGTTATAATGATCTTTAGAAAAAGGGTCTAAACTTAGGGGTCATACTTAGGTATGATTTGGTGTTATATTCTTTTCGTTTTTTAAGGAATATATTTACAGTCCTCAGGCTTGAATATACTTTGACCATTACCATTTCTTCTAAAATAATTGCATTTCATCTTTTAGACGCTTCCCTAGCCAGAAAAAGGGTCACTTAAAGCCAGTCTTGGCTGCACTGATTTCAGAAGTTACAAGAATATTACATCCCGAACTTAGATTATGGGATGAACAACTTTCAAACGATCAATTTTCTGGTAAATACAGCTCTGAAACTAGAGACACTTTATCTGTTAAGTGAGGAGTAAAGGGAAATGCCCATGCTGGATCCCGTCATGGCCTTGAGGTCGCAGGGACAGGGAATTACACTGAGTCCCTCCTGGGGAGGCAGGCCTTCCTAGAGAACATTCCAGGTGCCCAGAGGACGCAGGGCTTCCGCACAGCCCTTTCCCTGCGGAGATGCAGTTAGGAGCCGCAGGTTCTGCGCTCAGCTGTGCACTCTGCTTCTCAGGCACCCCCGCCAGGACCAGGTCAGATCTGCGGTGCCTTCCTCAGCCTCAGCACAGATGGCAGGCTTGCCCCTCCTCAGCTGGCAGCTTAGGAAGCCCTGATGGGCACAAAGCAGCACATGAGCCGTTTCTCTCCTTAAAGGAGGAAGGCTTTGGAAAGGGCACTTCTCGCCTCCGCCTAGGCAGGCACGGGGAGGGGCACTCATGAGCACAGGGCACATGTCATCTCCTTCTGGGGGCTGTGGCCCTTGCAGGGAGGACTGTGTCTCTGGGCTCTTAGAGGGTGGTGGGGCCTCTGAGCAGCGGTACTGTTCGTGGTAACTGAAAGTGAAAGCTAAGTGTGAAAGAGTGTTTATGCCCACCCACCGCTCACCATGCACGGCTCTGCAGACCGATGCGATAGTGACATCATTTCCCGCTAGATCTCCAAGAAAATGGGATGGCTCTCAAGTCAACTACTGCAGAGTAGGTTCTGATTGGCTCTACAATCTGTTCTTAAACTCCGGCAGAGAAATCTCTCACTGCATCACTGTATTAAGGTGAATAACTGCTGGTTTTGCCAGCTACCAGCGTTGTCTGGCCTCCCCCAGTTGGGCAGTTGCTTGGCAGGTGCACTGATCTCTCTCTGGCGTCTGCACCTCTGAGTAAGATATTGCCAATACAGGTGCCCGTGACAACTCTTTGTAAGCTCCAGGGTCCCCATGCTGTGAGTGCCCTTGTACCAGTGCAGATGGCGGCACAGTCACTTTCTCACAAAGGATTTGCCTTCGGAAGGGGTCTGTGTTCCTGGTGCTGTGAGGTGTGGATCTGTCCTGCCAGGGACCTTGGACAGAAACCATAAAGGACCACAAAACTGGCTCTCCTTAAAGCTAAACCACTATCATCTGCTCCAGCAGCAGCTATGCCCCAAGAGCTAATACAAGACCTGAGTGTCAGCGCCATCCACCAGGCTAAGAAGGCTGAAGTTCCTTGCCATTGGCTGGGCATTTAGTAGTTAACCAAAAAATTCCCAGCCCTGTGTATATGCCAGGGCCTCTTCTTTCTGTGCTATGCCACATGAGAACTGAGGGGTTCACTCAGAGGTGTTACTTCTAGCCCCCTGATAATCCTAGCCCCTCAGAGAAAGAACTTGGGAGGGGACTGGGGCATGGGTATATCAGCTCCAGCCTCATAGAGTTAGAGCACTGTATATTGAGTTTTTTTTGGTTTTTGGTTTTTTGTTCATTTGTTTTTGAGACAGGGTCTCGCTATGCAGTTCAGGCTGAACTTGAACCAACTATGGAGCCCAGGCTGGCCTCGAATTCATGATGATACTCCTGCCTCAGCCTCCCAAGTGCTGGTATTACAGGCGTTCGCCACCATGCCTGGCTTACTATTGTTTTTTCTAAGTGACTTTTTGTATTCTTTGGAGAGCATTGTTTGTATTTTTATTAGTTACAGTGCTATTAAAGAGTATGTGTTCCCTTTTTTTTTAAATCAGATACGTAAGTTTAAGTGCACATTTTTAAAAATTCTTGATATATGAAGCTTTTTATAAAACAAATATGGTAATCAACGGAATGCCTCATTTTGATTATTAGCAGTTAAATATATTAAGCTTAATTTCCATTTTCATCCTTTTTTATATACATGTCCCTATGTATTTCATGCATTCCACTGATCAGACTGGAAATCTGAGTTAAAATGTGTCTGTTAAATTATACTTGAGAGTTACAGATGACTGGAGAAGGAAGTTCACAGTTACTTTGCCTTATTTTGTGTGTAGGTCAAGGGGGTCATGTAACACTGTAAAAATTTAATTATACTGGGTTATTCTTTCAGAAATAACCTCTTAATATTCAGTGCTAACTGTAATCTGAAAGAAAGAATAGTGCTACAGAATGAATGTGACTAAAAATAAACCAGGACCTCCCTGTGATTTGCCTTCTCAAATATAACTGAGCTGTATCAGTCCACAACGCCAGGGCAGCTGCTGCGGGGGGCTGGTGCCACCCCTCACGGAAGCGCCACTTCACCGCACGAGACATGAGGCAGACACTCAGAGCTCTGGCAGTCGTGCTGCCTCCCAGTGATAACCTGTCACACCCGATTCATACTTGCTTCGTTTTTCCTTTCATGTTTTCTAAGAAGCTGCCCCCGAGGGCTCATTACAGAATAAGGGTGTGTGTGAGGGCTTCTGTCACCACACGCATCGCTGTTCCCTGGGGACCGGGCCTGGCCCTGCCTGTGTGCAGAGCAGCAGCAGCGGAGAGCCTTGGACAGCGCGCAGGACGGTCGGGCCGAGGAGCAGCCCGCAAGCCAGGCTGCCTTCGCACGGGTCAAGCTGCTCTCTCAGTGGTCACGGTCACAAGGTCTTTTTATAGTGTTGGGGAAGACGAAGTTGTTCATATAAATCCGGGTGGAGCCCACCTTGATCAACAGTTACAGTAACTTTGCTCAGTTTCACGATTCAGTGGATTTATGGAATACTCAGCAGTGCCATTTATATCCCGTCACTTTTTCTCATCCATCCTTATGCTGTAACTCATACTGATTTACGAAATGATTTACCCTCTTGCAAAGTGATCCCATTCAGTACAGTTATAATAAAAAAATAACGTGAAGTTGAGAGTGTGGCATGACTTGTTCCGGGCATGGTTGGGTACAGGGTTGGGTAGGGCATAGACTCTGCCCAGCCCTGGACCAGGGGCAAGTACAGCCTCACCTCCCCACTGCTGGGGGCCTAAGACCCTGGTTCCCTTCCTCTCCAGCTCAGAACAGTGGCTGAACCTCCTGGGCCTCACTTTCCTCTTCTGCACACTGGATCCTGTGAGGTGACACGAGAGTGTTTGGAGCCCAGGCACATGGCCACACAGGAGGTAAAGACCAGGGAAGTTCAAGGAAGTCATGGGGTCCCGCCCTGTGGTTGACAACCATGGACCCCAGGGGTCTGGGTCTGTCATGGCCTGCGGGTCCTACAGACCGGTTTGGAGGCCAGCTCGCCACCCCTTCCCACTCTCCCCACAGCACCAAGTTTGTCTTCTCTCCCAGCTAATGCGGTATTAGATGAAAAGTCTGCAGGTGAGGGCAAAGGAGAGGTAGCAAGAGCACTCTCAAATGACAGCTAGAAAGGGTGGCAGTGCCAGGAAGCCACCAGCACCTTGGAATGTACCCTTGGCCTAGCTTCAGCCCGCCCCCAGTCCCAGGCCCGGTTGGGGGCTTCCCCTTCGTAGGTCACAGGGCCTCCCCGCAGCGCCTGGTCCCCATCTCTGCACCTGCCAGTAAGGGTGAGCTGGACTTCCCCAGCTGGTGACAGCCCACATGCACTAGAATCTGCCACCAGCTTCCAGGTGCCCCTCGCCCGTGCCGCGGAGACTAACCAGTGCTGCTGGAGCTTCTGTCCTGGCTGCCCCTCAGCAAAGGAAGGGCTTGACCTGAGCCTGAAGAGGCTGTTCTACCCAGAAAGAAGTGCAAGGAGCCGATCTGGGCACAGCCAGTGCATGAGGGCAGCTCCCCTCTCACCCAGTAGAATGCCTTGAGGCCGGCACAGTGGCTTCCTAGAGCTTCCCTGAATCTTCACCCAGGATCTGCTTCTGGGGGAAGCTCAAACCGACCCCTTCCTTCCCAAGCCCTGACTTTAGGCAGAAGCATGTGCCTGGCCTACCACTGTGGAGGGTGTAGCAGGATGGAGGCCTAGGTTGCCAGGTTGGGCCCAAGCCATCCCAGGTGAGGGGTGTGCCGAGACACTTCTCCCTGGTCAGTGGAGAAGCGACTGCACAAGTGTGGCCTCGGGGCCAGGGCAGCCCCTCTGCATGTGCATTCTGGATTCCAGCTCAGGTTGCCAACTCCTCCACAAGCGAGTTACCCCAGGCAGTCACAATCACACCCTGCTGGAGGACGCACTGACAGTTCCACTTCCTCGCATCATTGCCTCTGCCACGGCCACTGTTCTTAGTTTTTAAGGGTGTGTGTGTGTGTGTGTGTGTGTGTGTGTGTGTGCGCGCGCGCGCGTCCAGAAACTTCTGCACCAAGAGGAACATCTGTCAAGGGGATGTTGCTTAGTTCTCATAGGAAGTTGAAGGGCCCTGGACACAGGCATGACACCCTTCAAAGGATTCACTCAGCATCAGCCAGCTCATTTTCCTCCAGCAAACTCAGTTTGTTGCCCTCAAAGCGTGAGGCTATGTGGATTCTGAGGACATGAAATGTCCCTTGAACTGCCAGCAAGGGTACAAGAGGTATCTTTCCATATTAGAAAAAGGTACCCAAGAAAGTTAGCCTCAAGCAATGGAAAGCCTGCATCCAGCCCAGAAGGCTTCGGCGGGGAGGCAGGTGGCCCAGTGTGTCAGCAGTCCCCACTGTGGTGAGTGGTGGGCACACCTACTTCCTGCTCAGTAAGTGCTACAGATGTGGAGGGATGGACTTAGGGCAGCAAGCCTGGTGCATTTTCCCCAGGAATTTGCTGTGATGGGGGACGGCCCGCAGCAGATCCTCGATGGGCGAACCTTCCAGGACAGCCAATGGAGCACACGCTGGTCCTGTGGGCCGTGGCAGCCCTAAAACCAACATCCTGACTGTAGTTCCTAAGTGGCCCGGCAGGGGGAGCCCTCCCAAACCACTCAGACTCAGAGACAGGAACGGGTGTTTAGCTAACTATAGCTGACAAGGGATGGGGCTGAAACAGTGATGTCACCTCCCATAGTGCTCCCAAGGAAATGACAGCCAGCAAAGCCACAGTGGCCTTCAACAGGAGCATTGCCTCTGCCTGCCTCCTCAGGTCTGTTCCTGATCCTATGGCCACTCAGCACTCCACGCTGGGCCCCTACACACAGCCTCCCTGTCCTGGGTCCATCCCACAGCTTAGTCAGACCTCCCTCCCACCCACCACAGAGGCAGCCTGGTATCCGCTTGCTAGGTCTGACCAGGGGCCTCGATCCTCTAACCATCCAGCTCATTTCTCACCTGGAAGCAGCAGGGCCAGTGGTTACTGAGCCCTCAGGGTGAATGACTGCTCTCTGTCCTCGGTCGTGCCCTCCTCACTGTGCTCCAGCCCCACCACCCTCTTCCCACCAAGCTGCACGCGTGCCTCTTCCCGTTCCCTGGCCTCAGCTTACACGAGCATAGCAGCCTCACTGGCCAGGCTGTCCTTTGCTGGGACTGGCCCTGCCCTGGGGGCCGTGTTCTGGAGGTCCCAGTGCTGCATTTCCCCCAGCTTCCTGTGCTAGGTACCTTTGGGGGCCTAACAAATTACCCCAGGCTGACCAGAACACAGTCGTACATTGTGCTTGTGTCAAGGATTCAGGGAGGCCACAACGGGCAGGACCTGTCACTGGTGTGCTGTTACTCACTGGTATTGGTATCCCAGGCCTTGGAAGACTCAAAGGCCGAGGTCGGCTTTATCACTCAGAGGTCTGAGCAGCATGGGAAGGGGCAGGGAGAAAGCGTGCGTGAGCCGTGGATGGGAGCCATTTCACCTTTTACAATCAGCCACAGAAGCCCCGTAGCATCACTCCTGCCACGTTCTAGTCAGCACAGTGTCACAAGCCCCTTCTTCATGGGGAGGGCAGCGCTGCAGAACACACGTGAGTCCGGAAGCATTGCTGTGGCTGCTTTGGGGGCTGCACCCCAGCATGCTCAGTGATCACAGGCTTCACCGGGGCGGCCAGAGGAGGCCACAGCAGCTCCAGGTGACCCAGAGGGCTCCGGCCGTGCTCCTTGGGGCTCTCGGTCCTCTCCCAGAAAGGCTTATGTGATAGTTCTATCAAGCGATCCCGAATTCTGATATTGCTCCCATCAAAAGGCCCTTGAGTTGCAGCTCTGGGACATCCTAACCGATACAATAATGTGGAGGACACAATGCAACACCACTTTCCAGTCCCCTGCCTCAAGAAGACCAGCAGCTTCTACTTCCCGTCTCACTCTTGAGACCTGCATACCGGGCCTTAAGGAAGCCTAAGAAGTGTTGAGGGGCCTCTGTGGAGAGAACAGTAACAACTTACAGCGCTATCTGGGCAGTGGATCCCTGTGTCTCAACCTTCACCGTGCAGAAAGACAAAGCCACTGAACCCTGCCAGATTACAGTCACGAACAAATGAAATGCTTATTGCTTTAAGCCATTAAGTTTTGGCCTGGCTGATTATACAGTAATGAATTACTCTCCCTACCTAGCAGGATTCATCTCCTCTAAACTCCCCCATGTTAAGAGATGCATTCAGAATGTGTATTTCCCTGCCTGGAAAGAGGACCTGAGTCATAGTCATTTGCCCCTATTTACTGAGCAGCTGGTACGTGC